CTCTATATATCTATACACACACACACACATATGTGTATATATATACACAATGGAGTTTTATTCAGCTATAAAGAAGAACAAAATTTTGTCATTTGCAGGAAAATGGGTGGACAGTGCATTGTGACAGAGCATTGCATTAAGTGAAATAAGTTAGAAAATCAAGGGTCATATACTTTTTCTCATATAGTGGAAATTAGAGAGAATAAAGAAAAAAAAGGGGAGGATCTAGTGAAAATAGAAGAGAGACCAATAGAGTAGAGGAAAAACACTAGAGGGAGGGAGAAGGGAGAGGGAAGGTATTAGGGAATGAAATCGACCAATTCATGTTATGTGCAAGTGTGAATATTGTAATAATGAATCCCACTATTATGTAATTATAATGTACAATTATAAAAATGTAAAATAAATATAATAAAGTGATTATAAAAATAGTAAAAGAGGTGCTATTAGTAGTAAGTGGGTTGTATTTAGGACTTTTTTTTTTTTGACTGGGGACTGCCTTTTGGCTACAAAAGCACAAGTGTAGTTACTACCCAAATGGACTATGTAGTCAGTTGTACATATATGTGTGTAAGAGGGAAAGAGAGAGGGGTGGGTGGGCAGAAATAACTTTAAATGATGCCCACCGATTCAAATTTCTGTTCATTCAAGAAGTGATAAATGTAGAAATTGTTTAGAGACTTCAGAAACTATAAAAGATCTTATGAAAAAGGGAGAGGTTTCCCAGAATGTGAGATCTGGTTAGTGGCTGATTTCCAGAACAGGATTCTTTCCCATGTGTCCTAAACTATTTTGGGGATGTCCTGGTCAGATAAATTATATACATTATTTTCCTGGAATATAGTATGTTTTTTCTTTTATTTATAGTCATTTAGTCTTAAGCCAAACATATGGAATTTCTCTTGGGAAAAATAGTTCCTCAAAACATCCTCAAATAGAGGCAATAGAAAAAGGATGAAAATTTCTAAGTAATCATTTAAAAAGTGACATATGTAAGTGTGTGTGTGTGTGTGTGTGTGTGTGTGTGTGTGTATGTTTCTGCATAAACATATACATAGATTAAAATATATATATTTTTTAGATTAAAATATTTTTATGCTAATGAAGCAGAACTTGGATCAGTGTAGGTTTAGTGGAATTAAATGTAATTTTTGATAGTTAATTGAAACATTAGTCCTTTCCTTTTTCAGGAGGCATGCAATTCTGGGTGTCATCAGTATCCACGCTTTCTGAGTCCTGGCAACCACGCTCTCTGGATATTGAAGTTGCAGCTTATGCACTACTTTCACACTTTCTGCAGTTTCAGATTTCCGAGGGAATCCCAATTATGAGGTGGCTAAGCAGGCAGAGAAATAGCTTGGGAGGCTTTGCATCTACCCAGGTGAGAGATGGTAGTTTTCCCCCTTTAAATTAGGAGCATATGATTCCTTTTTTTCACTATGACTTCATAAACTTACTCATTTTAAAAAGCTTAGTAGCTTAACTCCAAGACTTAAGAGACTCATTTTATTTTTTAATATAAACTTCATATCTGACATTTATATGGAATAAATTAGTTCCCCATCTGTATTGGCTATTTTGTATCTGTAGTAACTGATAAAAGGGTAGATGCTCAGTTTGAAAATTTCTAAGTTATAATAGTTTAAAAAGTGACATATGTAAGTATGTGTGTATGTTTTCTGAGCAATGTTCCTGGGCAAATGTTTTCTAAGCTTCTGCTATTCTCTGAGCCAAGAGATTCAAAGATGAGTTAGAAAGGCTTCCATTTTCAAGGAGGGTAGATGAATGTACAGTAGGTTTCCTAAATCTGACTACTCTTTGAGGACCTTGATATATACTTATATGGACAATCATTTTTTTTTCTCTCAACAGGATACTATTGTGGCCTTAAAGGCCCTGTCTGAATTTGCAGCTCTAATGAATACAGAAAGGACAAATGTCCAAGTGACTGTGCTGCAGCCTAGCTCACCGAGTCCTGTAAAGTTTCTGATCGATACACAGAACCGCTTTCTCCTTCAGACAGCAGAGGTGTGAACCAGGGGTAGTTATTTAAAATTCTGTGCAGTTGGTTATTTGTACTGGAATACTGCTTTACTTTTAATCTGCAGACATGAGCAATGACTTCTTCCCAGAGCCCTGCAGAGAGATGGTGGTGGTGTCCTTTCGGTTGAATTTTCTGATCTCAGGAAGGATGGAGGAGACGGGAACTTTGGAAATATTGGTAGAAAAGGAGAGAATACGGGGACTTCCACATTGGAAAGGGAATAACCATGCCTTCCATTCCTGCCTATTTCTCAGGACATCTTTCTTTTTTAAGTTATATTTATTTGAGAGGAAGTGTGTGTTATTTATTTATCTTTTTAAAGAACAAACTCTTAATTTCATTATCCTTTGTATTCTGTGTCTTCTTATAACACGGTATCTTTCAGTTCCATCTATTGTTCCTGCACAAGACAGGATTTTGTTCTTCTCTAAGGCTGAATAATACTCTATTATGTATATTTTATATATTCCTCATCAGTTCTTCTGTTGATGGGCACTTAGGCTGATTCCTTATCTGGGTTAAATATGAGTATGGGGAGGTGCCTCTTTTGTATGCTGACTTCATTTTTCTTTTCTTTTTGTTTTTGGCTACATAGCCAGGAGTGGAATAGCTGGATCATAGAGGGTTCTATTTGGAGTATTTTGAGGAACTTCTATACTGTTTTCCATAGTGACTGTACTAATTTACATTTTTACCAACCATGTATAAGGCTTTCTTTTTCTTCTTCTTCACATCCTCACCAGAATTTATTTATATATTTATTTATTATTTATTTTCTTTCTTTCTTTCTTTCTTTCTTTTTCTTTTTTTTGATAACCGGTGTGGTAAATGGGATGAGATGTAATCTCAATGAAGTTTTGATTTACATTTCCCTGATGGCTAGAAATGTGGGGCGCTTTTTCATATATTCATTAGCCATTTGTACTTTTTCTTTTTTGAAGGGTCTATTTAGGTGATTTACTCACTTATTAATCAGAATATTTTATTGAGGATTTTTGCATTGATGTTTATTAGGGTGTTGGTCCTTACTGTTCTTTCTTGTTGTGTCCTTATCAGGTTTTGATAGCAGGGAAATACTAACTTTGCAGAAGAGTTTGGAAGTGTTCCTTCTTTTTATTTTATGTAATAGCTTGAGAAGCATTAGTGTTAGTCTGTCTAAAAGTCTGGTAAAATTCAGTGATGAGTCCATTTGGTCCTGAAGTTATTTTTTTTGGAGACTTTTTTTTTTTATTACAACTCTAATTTCATTTTCATTATTTTTGATTGATCCTTTTAGAATTTTTATCCCCTTGATTCAATTTTGGTAGGTCATGTGTATATTTCTTTCAGATTTTTCTAATTTATTGGTATATAGTTTTTAAAAAAATATTCCCTTTGAATTTCAGTGCTTTCTCTTGTATTGTGTCCCTTTTACCTCAATGTAAAAATTTGCATCTTCTGTCTTTTTCTGATGGTTAGTTTAGGTAAGGGTTTGTCAGTTTTATTTATCTTTTTAAAGAACCAACTCTTAATTTCATTATCCTTTGTATTGTTATTTTAGACTTTATTTCATTTATTTCTTCTCTGATCTTCATAATTTCTTTTCTTCTACTAATTTTTGGTTTGGTTTGTTCTTAATTTTTCAAAGACCTTGAGATGCAATCATTAGGTTACTTATTTGAGATCTCATTTTTTTGAATGATCTTATTGCTATACATTTTCTTCTTTGTACTGATTTTTCTATATTCCACAGATTTTGTATGTTTTGTTTCCTTTTTTGATTCAAGAATTCTTTAATTTCCCCTGTGACTTCTTCCATGATCCACTGTTCAGTAGTGTTTTTTTTTCAGTCTCCATGCATTTGTATAATTTCTGTAGCTTCTTTTGCTGTTGATTTCTAGTTTCATTCCATTGTGATCACAAAAGATACAATAAATTATTTCAGTTTTTTGAATTTGTTAAGGCTTGCTTTGTGGCCTAATATATGACCTCTTCTGGAAAAAATTCCATGTGCTAATGAAAAAAAAATGTGTATACCACAGCTGTTGGCTGGAATATTCTGTAGATGTCTGTTAAATCTGTTTGATCTATAGTATAATCCAACTCTGATTTTTTTTGTTTATTTTTTTGTCTGGATGATACGTCTATTGGTGAGAGAAGGGTAGGAAGTTCCCCACTATCGTTGTATTAGGGCATCTCTCTCCCTTTATGTCTAGTAGCATTTGTTTTATAAAACTGGGTGCCCAACATTCAGTGAATTTATATTTATAATTGTTACATCTTCTTGATGTATTGTTCCCTTGAATGATAGAAGCTATGTTAGTCAGCTTTTAGTTGCTGTGACCCAAATACATGACATGAACAACTTAGAAGGAAACGTATTTCTTTTGGCTCATGGTTCCAAAGGATTCAGTCCATGCTTGACTGCTTTCAAGGCAGAAACATCATGGTAGGACATGATAGAGCTGCTCTGCTCATTGCAACTTTGAAGAAGAGAGAGATATAGGAAAGGACCAGGGACAGATGTAGTCCCCTAGGCTGTGCCCCCAGGGAATTACTTCTTAAAGCCATGCCCTATCTTCCTACAATTACCATCCTGTGGTCCATTCAAGTTATTAAGCCATCAAATGGGTTAATCTACTGATGAGGCTATAGCCCACATAACACAATCATTTCCTAAAAGCTCCACCTCTGAACCTTACCATACTGGGGATCATACTTTGAATAGATGAACCTTTTGTGGAGACATTTCCAATCCAAACCATGACTGTGTCCTTCTTTGTCTCCTTTTTGTCTTTCTCTCTTTTGATTTTTCTTAAGTCTATTTTGTTGCGTACAATTATAGCTTCACTGCTTTTTGGATTCTATTTGTTTGGAATACTTTTTCCATCTTTTCATGTTCTGTCTCTATTTGTCTTTGTAGGTGAGGTCAGTTTCTTGTGTGCAACATATTTTTGAGTCTTATTTCTTAATCCTTTCAGCCCACCTGTGTCTTTTAATTGGAGAGTTAAGACCATTTATATTCAGAGTTATTATTGAAAAGGATATACTTGTCCCCCGCCATTTTGTTAACTTTCTTCTAGTTGTTTTGACTGTCCTATGTTTCTTCCTCTATTAGTCATCTTAGATGTTTGATGGCTTATTGCATTGGTAATGTCTGATTCTTTCCTGTTTCTCATTTGTGTGTCTACTCTTTTAGTGGGATTTATTTTTTTATGTTCTCTCATAATTGTGTTTATCTTTCTTCTTGTGGGTATAATATTTTCTTTTATAATTCTGATCTAGTGGTCATGAATTCTCTTTGTTTATGATTATCTTGGAAGGTCTTTGTTTTTTCTTTGATTCTGAAGGATAACCTTGATGGGTTTAGTAATCTTGGTTGGCAGTTATTTTCTTTTAGGACTTGAAATATATTTTTCTATGTCCTCCTGGCTTTTTGAGTGTCAGATGAGAAATCTGATGTTAGTTTACTGGTTTTGCCTTTAAATGTAACTTGGCTCTTCTCTGTTTTAGATTGTAATATTCTTTCTTCATTCTGTACATTTGGCCATTTAACTATAATATGTTGTTGCAAGGGTTCTTTTCTGATCATGTCTATTTGTAATTCTAAATTCCCCCTGTACCTGAATTTCCATATCTTTCCAAGACTTGGGAAATTTTATGTAATTATTTCCTTGACTAGGTTTTCTGTGCCCTCTGTATGTCACTTTTTCCCTTGGGTATACCAATTATGTGGATGTTTTATTTTTTAATTGTGTTTCAGAGATCTTGTATGTTCTCTTCATTCTTTTAAACTTTTTTCTTTATTGCTATATGAATGGAATATTTTGGTAGAGTTGTTTTCAAAATCCAGTATTCTTTTTTTTTTCTAATTGATCTACTCTGCTGTTGAGGCTTTCAACTGAGTATTTTATCTGACTTATTGAGCTTTTAATTTCTAAGATTTCTGTTTGGTTGTTTTTCAGATTCCATATATTTATTGACTTGCTCATTCATATTCTGCATTGTCTTCTTCAGTTCCTTCACTTGTTAATTTATATTTGCTTGGATCTTATTGAGTTTTTAAAAAACTAATTCTTGTGAATTCTTGGCATTTCATCCACTTCAGTTTCCTTGAAATCTGTTACTATGGAGGTAGAAGTTATTGAAATATTACCTTATTTTTTCATGTCTCTTGTTTTTTTTACATTGAGATTCATGCATTTGTTGTGATGGGTATCTCTTCCACATTTATGTTGTGTCCTTGTTGTTATGCAGCTTTCCTCTGAGAATATGACTTAGGGTGTTGGCTTGTTGCATATTGTTGAGTTTATTTCCAGTGGACTATGTAGTGTAACTTTCCTGTAGCTTCTTTGGTTGTGATTTAACAGTTTGGGCCTAGAGTGTTCCATGTTGGAGTCAGAGAAGCCCCCACTCTCTCTGCAAGTCTTTAAGAGTGGAAACATTCAGGCAGATGTGGTATAGGAAGCAGGGTAGATGGAATGTGCCCTCTGTAGCCACTTCCATTATGAGAGTGGAAGTCCCCATCAGGAGCTGGGGTTTTCCACAGGTATTATTGATGGTAGCTTTGTTATGTGAAATCGATTCTGATGCTGGTTGCTCCAGTTGTGTTGAAGGGCCTCCTGAATCACTTGTCCTCTGATAAAAGATGGGGTGCAGATCTAGGTAATTCAAGAGGAGAGGGAAGGGACGGGCCTGAAATCACAGCTCCTTGCTGTGGCACTCACCTTAGTCTTATCAATCCTACATGATGAGACCAGTGCAGATGCAGCTTGTTAAAATTTTTCTCAGCTCTAATCAAACTAGTTGGGGCAGAACGCAGGTGGCATCAGGTGGCATCAGGTGGCATCACTTTCCAAACCTGTTTTCTTTCTGGAAGTTTTTAGCTTACACACGTGGGGCTATGGCAAGCACCAAACTAACAGGGGCTTGAACAAGTTACTAGCCTTGAAGAGGTTGGGCAGACAGTGGAATAGTGACACCCCACACTGGCTTGCTCCTCCAGAGGACAGATGCAAAGCCTCATTGTGTAACTGCTTGAGGAGGTGAGCTTTGGCTTGTAAGACCATGCAAAGCTCTCAGAATTCTCCATGGATTGCTTCTACCCATACTGAGGATGACACTGATTTCTTTGGCTACTTGGAAGGAACTAGATATGGAAAATTACACTCATTCTTCATTCATTCCCCCCACCCTTTGTTCAGATTGCTGTGGAACAGCCAACTACAGTTAATATTTCTGCAAGTGGTTTTGGATTTGCTATTTGTCAGGTATGTAATAATGTTTATTTTTAAGCTAAGTATGACTTTTAATAATAATTCTTTGGGAATATTGCTAAATTTTATCTTAGATGATTTGTATAAAATTCTTAATTATCTATTTCTATGACATAGGTAAGATATACTACTCTTATTTAGTAAAAGGTATTAGAGGTGTTATGCACCAGTGAGTAGACAAGAGTCATGTATTGATAATCAATTTGAAAAATGAGTTTGGGGGATTATTTGCCTTTTGATGTGAGAGTTAAAATCCTTTAATATGATTTAAGTGAATAGTTGGGAACTCCCACTTTTTTGGTTTTTACAATTCAGGAATTGTACTGTTGGTATAGTTTCTATTATTACCTGATGAACAAATACACATTTTACTTACATATTCTGAATATTTATCCAAGAATATAAAGGTCAGTGTGTCATTATAAGTTTTTGTCTTGAAAATAGGAAATGCATTCCTTTAATGTAAATCCTTATATAATAGTAAATAAAAAATTAGAGCATTATTATGTTCAATGCTGTGGTACAGGAAGAAAACTTGAAGAAGCCTACTTTTTGTGATACAGCAAGAGCTACAGTAAATTGGAAGTAATATGAAAATACTGACTAGAATACATATTACACTGAAAATACATGAAAATAATACAGACTTTAAAATCATCTCATTGGAACCCCAAATAATATCTGATAGACTGAAAATGATTATACATATGGGTAAAAGACCAAACCAACCTCAAAACACTTTCTAAGAAAGTAATGCAGTAGCCATTACTGAAAAATAGTACTTTCAAAAAAAATCAGTGTACTAATTCTAATTGAGAAAACTGGTATGCTGCCAAGGGCAGGTATACCTTGCTTATTAGCAGGTATGATTTAGAAATTTCCTGATAATTTTTAAAGATTATTTAGATTATTATTTACATTATTAAGAGAATGAGTACATAATCTCTGTTGTTTTTTACCAACAAAGGCCATGGGAAAATTCTCATTCCTGAACTGTCTTAAAGCAAAGAGTAAATGCCAATGTAAATATTGCAGTATATTTTAGACAATATAAAAATCATGTATGCTTAAATCAACAAATTGTTGGGATTCATTTTTGATAAGCCAAATATAGATAAATCACTGAAACCAAATGCTTGTTACTTGAGGTTTGAAGGACAGAGGGGTAACTGTGGTACATAATATTTAGAATGTTCATTGTCCCATGTCTATGTAAATATGTGGAAAACAAATAGAAATGACCAATAGCCTCTTCTTATACTGGAGGGAAATAATTGGAAAAACGTTGGACACCCAGAAATGGATATTGAGATTCTTGTGTTCTGGAAGAAGAAGAGCACAGAAAACTATTATATTTGTAGTAGCTGTTAAATTCTTTTGGGTAATAAGATGCTAAGTTGTTGGAAATCAACTGCAAGATCTGTTGGAGTTCTATGTGAAGTGTAGAGCTTCACTGTGATCCATACATAAGTCCTAACACTTAGTTGTAGATGGGTATTAATTATGACACAGAGGAAAAATCTAATAGTCCTTGTTTGATGACATTGATCTCTGAAGGGAAAATTGCATGCCACTGAAGGATCATGATGAAAATAACAAAGACCATCTCTCCAGTTTTATGAAACCATCAACTTCTTCTCCAGAAGTAATTAAAATACAATAATTAAAATCAATAATTAAAATTATTCTTAAAATTAATAATTAATTATTGTAGTTTAGAAAGCACTGGAGAATGTCCAGAGTAAGATAATCAGGATGATCAAAGAGATGGAAGATTACATGATTATATGATGGAAGATTATTGGGTTGTGATAGAATAAAAGACTACAACTCTTAGATTTGAAAAGTGAAGTTTAGTGAGAAGATTTTTTTCAAAGTATCTAAATATAGGAAGGACACTAATGTTTACTTCTGAGGGGTGTGTGTATGTGTGTAGAAATAAAAGAAAATATAATGTTGCATATCAATATTCAACTTTATGAACCTTGGTAGTAAAAAGAGTGGATGAAATAAAACAATTAAGTAGATTCTGTTTCATCTTGGGATGAGAATGGCCTAGGAAATTTTGAGTACATTCCTAACCTTCTGATTTAGGATCACTTTGAGGAAGATACTGGCCCTCACACTGCCCCAGTATTCCCGTAGCACTTTTCACATCAGTGGTGGGCACTGATTGTGTTCTGGAAAAGACCCATTTGACTTCAAGTCCATCATTTTATCATCTTTGAAAAACATTGTATCATGAAAAAGAATCCCCAGCAGCTGAACAGGCGATGTTTTAGTTTTCATTTATCTTACTGAGAGATTTTTTGGTTCCAGTTTGTGAAAAACATTTCATTTGGTGTTAAAGTTAGAAATTAGATAAAACTCTCAAGAAGATAGCTCCACCCTTTCCTCTCAAGGGTGTGCTTTATATTCTTTATAAAAACAATATCCCATGAATATTATACTCTGTTTTATGGTGCTTGCTTTGGAATATTACCTAAAATTTTTGATATAGATTTTTTTCCCTTTCTTTTGGTACTAGGAATAGAATCCAGGTTCTTGTGCATGATAGGCAGATGCTCTAACACTGACCTACAACCCCATCCTTACCTACAATTTAAAAAATAATTTTAAAATAATATTTTGTAATAATATTTGTTGCTAATGACACATTATTAACCAGTGAAATGAGTTTTTTCTAGTTGTGAAGGTTACAAATCTAGTTTGGTTTATCCCAAAGAGAATCATTAGCTAATATTTAGAATGTAAAGTGATTGCAATTGATTGTTAATAAATATATTGCTAATTTGTTATTTCTGCTAATTTGTTATTTATTGCAGTTCAATGTTATTTATAATGTGAAAAATTCAGGGTCTTTTAGAAGAAAAAAGTCTATCCAAAATCAAGAAGGCTTTGATTTAGATGTTGAAGTAAAAGATAATAAAGATGATATCAATCATGTGAATTTGAATGTGTGTACAAGGTAGGTATCTGTTTAGGTCCTTCCTCTTCTTTATTTTTCTTCTTTAAAAAATAGATTTGAAGATTTAATTATGTATAATTATCAAACTATATGTAGGGACTTTTATTTCATGAAGAATTCAGTTATGTAATTATGACTTCAGATTACAGACTAAAAGTACTATTGATTGTTTTCAACATTTCTTAGACATGCCCAGAAATTGTTCACAAGTTTTTGTTATATTTTATAACATACTAGAATATAAAAATATATATAAATTCAATAAAATTCAAATCTAATTTAGGAAAACTTTAACCAATCATGTTTAACATTCCAAAATAGTTATTTATGGCTGTTAAGTCATTTTTCTGTCAAAATAATTTCATTTCAGGTTCAGATTTAACCTTAACTTTTTATGTCTGTTTTTTATTAGTGCATTATATATATACTATGTCATTCTGACATTTCATAAATGCATATAACATACTTTGCTCCATTTATTTATACATTTGACCCTGAACTTTATAAGAGCATGCACATTCAATGAAGAAAAGGTTTTTTTAGATGCACTGAAAATATTCCAGTTTAGATTTGCATCTTGGATAATTAGAACCTGTCTGGAAGTACTTAATTGAGGTAATTCTTAGATGGGTTTGTATCCAGAGCATCTGAGGATCTTAAATCATAAGGAAAAGAGATTATACCTCAGAACTGCTGACTTCACAGTAAGGCTGTGAAGCTGCCTCTTCAGCTTCTTGGTCATACTAATGAACACACAAGTTTGAGAACAACTCTGAGAAAGTTCTTGAATCAAGAGGCTTTGTAGTTTCTTCCTTCTCAGTCTTTCCTGTTACATCTGCATTTTTTGGCGTGAGCTGGGAGCTACTATGAAAGGATGCACTAACACCAAGGAATTGCTGTCTGCACTTTTCAAATATCCCATACCATTATGATTGAACTTATCTTGTTGGGCTGAAGGTCACTGGTGTGGTTCAGAGCTTCCAGATGTTCCTCAAAGCCATCTCTAAGTGTTCATCCTGATGTTCAACCACTGCCTAAATCACCTGCATTATCACTGCTATCTGTATTATCTTTGGGCCTTCTTATTCATGACTTTGGGACACAGTGTTACATATTTGCACCTTGCATTACCTTCTTGGACATTCTGTACTAGGAAAATAGCAGCATCTCTGCAGTGGCTTCCTTTTCAGCTAAGAAGGAAGTGGGGCTTTTATTATTATTATTGTTATTTACTAGGTTTGCAATTGTCTGTGTTCAAGAATGACAACATCAAATTGTTATTATTGTCAACAATCAACCTACATTTATCACAAATATATATGACAAGCAACTGTACAAAACGCTTTTACATGCATTTCATTTAGGCCTTTCAATAACTCCGTGCACTAAATGCTATTATTTTTCCTGTTTTTCTCTTTCCCTCATTCATTCACTCAATAAATATTGGTGAAGTCTCTTCTGTGTGTCAGCAGTCAGGCATGAGAATATAATGCTTAGCTAGACACCAGGCTGCCTTCATGGAATTTACTGTTTGGAAGGGGAGGCAGAAATGAATACAAAGTATCCTCAAAGCAAGTCTAAAATTGTGGTTTTGAAAAAGTCAGAGAAGACCTTTGCAGACCTGTGAGAGGGGGATTTGACCTCTCAGGGGCATCAAGTGAAGAAACAGAGGAGGAAATGAAGTAGAACCACGATTCAGACCATGAAGAGACCTATCTATCTATCTATCTATCTATCTATCTATCTATCTATCTATCTATCTATCTATATTTTTGGTGCTGGGGATTGAACCTAGGGCCTTGAACATACTGTAGCCAAGCTGAACTACCTCCTCTGAACTGTATCCCTGGCCAGAGGTCTCCTTATTTGTATGGGGGTTTATGTAAGGAAGCAGGATTTTAAATCTTAATCCAGTATGAGGAATAAAATGGGCATCAGATATTGCTTGGTAATTATATCCTGAAGAAGGAAATGTCTTCATGTGAAAGTGGAGGCTTTATAGAAGGTCAGCTGGTCCGTCCGTCCTTCTTTTCTCCTTTTTTTTTTCTTTCTTCTTTCTTACACAACAGTGGATCAAACCCAGGGTATCATGTATGCTAGGCAAGTGTTCTATCTCTGAACTACATTTCCAGTCCTTTTATTTTATTTTGAGACAGGGTCTCACTCAGTTGCCCAGGCTGTCCTTGAACTTGAGATACTCCTGCCTCAGCCTCACAAGTAGCTGGGATTACACAGGCATATGCCACTGTTCTGGCTAGGAAGAGTTTTAAATGCAACTGCTAGTTTTCTGAGAAAAACTATTACATCAAACACAAACAACATAAAAATAATTGAATTTAATAATAATTTTCAGTAATAAAAAGCACTGAATTTTATTTTTAGTGATACTTTATAAAAAGATTGCCTGATAATTCAGGCATTTTATTCCTATCAACAGGGTCTAAGACGTGACCTCAGACAAGGTTTTCTGTGGGGCAGGATAATTTAGCAAATTCTTCATTGGCTAGTAAACTAGTCTTTCAAAATGCTTTTGGTCAACCAAGGTGCTTTGACAAGGTAGTGAAAGTATAATCTGCATTATACTTTTAAGCATTTAAAAAGATTAACTGTTCTTCTCATCTTTAATTTTTGCTCACATGCAAACTCCTCTGGTTTCAATCCACTTACTCAGTTTTCAATAGCACCTACTTTGGCTAAGTGCATTGCCCAGCAGATGGATTTAGTTGCTTCAGAGTGTTGAGCCAGCAGAGGTTAGAAGTTGCATTGAGTGGCTTTTCAATCAGTCATGTTTGGCAGGCATCCGTTTGCTGCTCTAAAAAGCAAACTTTTCTAAACAGACTTCTTGCTTTTGCCATCAAACGGGACAGCAGGAAGTAACTTAACAATACTATGATCCTTTTGTGTTGGAGGCAAACTTCTTTCTATAACCACACTCTACTCCTGTTCCAGATGAAAAACTTCTGCCACCTATTTGTTTTCAAAAAATATGTATCTTGAAGGAGACAACATGTTGTTGGTGCCCAGATTCTTTGATGCTCACACTGTGGTGTTGAGCTGGGAGTTACCATAAGGGTGAGGTGGGAGGTATGATAGGGTGAAAGAATGCAGTGCAATAAAGCTTTCCAAGGCTTGCAGATCTCTCAGGGTGGCTCAAGAAAACATGTACTGTGCTCAGTGTGTGCATGAAAACAGAGGAGGAAAGCCTCTCCCTGCTAGATTTCTTTTTCTAAAACCAGATGAAGAAAACCTACAGGCTTGGCTGGCATCTGCCACTAAGTGGTCAAGCAATGGTACTCTAAAGGTCTTGGGCTTTCAGCTGGAAAGTTTGATGCTGTTAACTTTTGAGAAAGTGAAAATGACATACAGTTTGGAATCACCACTGAAAGCACCACTAGAATCGGTCGAAAGGATATGCGTTGTACTTGTGACAACCTCAAAGCACAAACCTGTTGGATTATAGACATTTCATCCTATCTGTCCAGTGACCTCATTGTTATATTAGCATTACTCATATGGTTGAAAGAATATTACACATGTAGGAAAAGGGTAACCTGTTCAGAAATATTCTAGAGTCATTTTTTTAAACTTAAATGATATTAGAGTAATATTTTACAGTTTTAATTTTTTGTCTGAAAATCATTTGCTAACAATTTATAGCTTTTCCTAAAGGATTTTCTCCTTTTTTCTTTTTTTTTTTTGATGTAGGTTTTTGGGCCCAGATAGGAGTGGCATGGCCCTTATGGAAGTTAACCTTCTTAGTGGCTTTACTGTGCCTTCAGATGCAATTCCTTTAAGTGAGACAGTGAAGAAGGTGGAACATGATCATGGAAAGCTCAACCTCTATTTAGATTCTGTAAGTAGTAAAACCTAAGTTTCAAAAGGGTAATTATTGATAAAGTCACCATTTTTTTTGTGCTCAAAAGTCTACCGTAGGGATTGAGGATGTAACTCAGTGGTAGAGTGCTTGCCTAGCAGGTGTGAAGCCTTAGGTTTATCCCCAGCAATACATACACAGACAGACACACATGCACACACACACGCACGCACACACACACAGTCTTTCTTACTTACGTTTTCTTTAAGTCATTGTTCTTTCAGCTTTTTGTGTCCCTGAATGATTTTAACATGATGACCATGTTAAAAGACATTAAAAAGACATCACCATATAATTAGTTTAGAGTTATTTTTAATCATGAGCCTGAGGACAATCTTGATAATAAAATCATTATTTCATATTAGATGCAAAATGTGTAGAGATTGCCATCTTACCAGTTCAGAAATGCAGTCCAGATCTCAATTTGAGAACCCCTCTACCTTCAGGAATTGCTAAACATACTTGCTCAGATGCAAAAGATGAAAGCTTTAATTACATGTTCTAAAATGCTCTTGTGAAGCTTTTAACAAATCTCTAAGTGATTATTATTCCTGTCTTAAAAGGTTATGTGCTTAGGTTTGGGGATGTGGCCCAGGGCCAGAGCGCTTGCCTGGCACGTGTGAGGCCCTACATTCTATACCCAACATCAAGAAGAAACAAAAAGGTGCTTAAATTATAGAAGAATATTGTCAGAGGTTTGGTCTATACCAAGAATTATATGCTACCCTTTCCATTGCTGTCTGAGTAGTACTGATCCAAGGATAAGAGTAAAAATCATGGTAGGAAGAGGTCAGGGAGGAATTCCAGCCTTGACTCATTAGGTTTCAAAATTGTTGGTATGTGAATTTTTTCTCTTCTTCTAGCATCTATATGAAACTCAGAGGTTGAACTGAAACTGATTTCTAAGCATTCTTGGGATTGCATGTTACATGGGAGGAACCCATGTGTTTCTTATTCCAGTTTTGCTAAGTATGAGTCAGAAATATACTAAATATTGCTAAATATTTACCTTTAAAAAGCTAAATCCTGAATGTTCTTCTTTGTTTCAGCACTTCAGAAATCACTCTGATTAAAGTCCCGTTAAAGCTAATTTAGCCTTTAAATTACTTTGCTGTTAAGGAATTTTCTTATATTAAATTATGCTTGAAAGCCATGGACCTGATTTGGAGCTTGAAAAAAAAGTTTAAAGTTTTTATTTAGTAATTGTTTCTGGAGTTTGTCTTGCATCTTTGATGTGCTTGTTAATGTTTTAATTTGAGTGCCCAATAATCTCTGATTGATTTAATTTTTTTTCATTTACTGCTGTTGGTGTATAATGAATGTTTGAAGGAATTTATTAATTTTTGATTTCTTAACTGACATTGTTTGTCAGATTGGCATGAACTGCTCCTCCTGGAGCGAGGGAGGCTGGCCTTTTGTATGTGTGTGGTCCTGGGGATGGAACTCAGGGGTGCTCTACCATTGAGCTACATCTCCAGCTCTTTTCATTATTTTGAGAAAAGGTCTTGTTTAGTTGTCCAGGCTGGCCTCGAGCTGGTGTCCCTCCTAAGTATCTGTGATTATAGACATGCACCACTGCACCCAGTTGAGGTGGGCCTTTGGTACCCCACATTGAGCAGGGGTATACCTAATTGTGGGGTGCACCCTCACCTCAGGGCTTCACTTACTGCATGAGGTGGCCCACATAAGCTGAGGGTAATTCTCTGGAGGAGGGGGCTTCTGTGAATCATTACAGGACAGGTGCACTCTCTGAAAGAGAGGATTTGGATAAGGAACCATGTCCCCATAAGCATGCACCCTTGGGCTGAATGTTTGCTTAACAACTCTAATTCTCAATATCCATTTCAGCAAAATAGAATTAAGAACAATACCTGACTTGTAAGGGTTGCTTTACAAGGTAGAAAAGATAATTAATAGAAAGTATTTATTGCAGTACATGGTAAGTACAAGTCTTCCCTAAATGTCAGTTTCTGTTTCCTAAAATGGTAAGAAAAAGATCTCTCTTACTTTTTTATGAACACAGGGTGTGCCAACCCATAACCCCTTAAAAGTATTTTTTTTTTGTATTTTTCAAGGTAAATGAAACCCAATTTTGTATTGATATTCCTGCTGTGAGAAACTTTAAGGTTTCAAATACCCAAGATGCTTCTGTATCCATAGTGGATTACTATGAACCAAGTAAGTTGTGGTCTGGAGTTTGTAATACTTTACAAGTGAAGCCAGGCATTCAGTTATCATTCTTCTATTCACAAGAAGTGGGAGCAAGTGTAGGAGGTGGCCTCTAGGAGGTGAGCTTTCTATTTGAATGAAGACGATTGATAATTTACAATCAGTGCTAATGACAACATTTAGCATACAAATGTTATAGAGTGACATTTTTGCTAATTTTTTTTTGTTTTTTTTGATACCAGGATTGAACTCAGGGGCACTCAACCAATGAGTCACACTCTAGTCCTATTCTGTATTTTATTCACTATGTTGCTTAGTACCTCCCTTTTGCTGAGGCTGGCTTTGAACTCATGATGCTCCTGCCTCAACCTCCCAAACCACTGGGATTATAGGTATGCACCACAGTGCCCGGGATGTTTTAGGTTTTTAATTCATAATCACAAACTTCAGAGGAGAAGGTGATGAAAGAATCCAGTTGTGTGGTTTTTTTTTTTTTTTTGTTTTTTTTTGGCTTTTATTCCAAGCTTCTATTCCATCAGGCTCCTGCTGTCAAGTTGGAGCTTTTCAGGAAAGAACATTTGCAGTTGTTTCTTCATTGGGAAGGACTGATGTTTTGCTAAAACTTTTATGCATAACAGGATTTTTCTTAGTGTATCGAGAAAAATATAGACTGGAAGATAACTTCTTTGATTTGACTAGTAATGTTTTATTTTATAAAATGATAGGAATTTAGGATATGAAAATAGCTGGCCTAGAGATAGCCCAAGTTAATTGTGAATAATCTACTCTCATCACAGAGTGACTTTCTGTGAGTGTGGGATCTCTGGGCTAATGTTTCTAATTGTAATGAGTCTTATCCTGAATAAGACTCAATCATTAGAATGCCTGAGAAGGATAAACCTTCTCTTATGGTAGGTAGTTTCAGATAATTACATGTTAAAAAAATGAACTTGATCACTATATACTTAAGTTTTGATAGTGCTTGACAGAGTATTCAAGACTCTCTTTCTGAGTTGTTCTCTTGCCGTATTCCTCCTGTTGGGATTGAGGACGAGAAAACCCTTGGGGGGATATTTTGCAAAAACAGGAGTAGCACCCTTTTTCCTGGTAGAGAGATGAGATCCACCACAGAGACTCAATGACTGTACCTTGCTAGCCAACTTTGTTATTTAACCTGGTTGCAAAATCCCCCAATTAATGTTTCTTAGGTGCACAGGATACATTTTAAGCATTTAAGAAATGAAAAAGATTCCGTTTATATAAATTTTTTTGGTGTGTGTAAAACACCTATTTATGAGGATGCCATTTAAAAATGAGATTATGAGAAAGATAAGAATAATTAAACCCACCAATTCATTTTTTTCCCACCAATTCATTTTTAAAAATTCCAAAACAGGTTTGTGATTTACAAAACAATTACACAGAAACTAGAAAATAATGTTTTTTGTTATTAAAAATCATAAAATAAAACTCAGTTTTGTTTTGCAGTGAGCTCATTATAGTGCTCTATATAGCACTATAAATAGAACTAATAGACTTTATATAGTTTATAAAATATTTGTTTGTGCTATAAATTATACTCAGATTGAATAGTTTTTAACCCTGTGTGCTCAAAGTTTTAAAACATTGAAACAAGGCATTGCATAGACAGACTTCACTACATACTTAAGTATTATTACCTTTTTTTGTTCACTTTTATTGGTGAATTGTAATTATACATCATAGTGGAATTTATTGTTATATATTAGTACATGCACACAAGGTAACCATATAATTTGATCAATTTTGTTCTTCAGTATCTTTCCTTTCTATTTATGTATTTTAAAATAAAGCCAGGGCCAATGTTTTTTTCAGTTGTTATAATGATTAGAATTTTATTTGAATGCATAGAAAATGTCATCCTAAAATAAACTGTTGAGGAGGCTAAACAATCCTCAATTTAAAACATTTCCTGTTCCAGAAAGAGATTAAAGTCCTGCTTGTGACCATAGTGTGCAGCTGTGGTCCATTTGCTCTCTTTTAATGCCGGCCAACTGCTGGTGGTAGATAGATTGGACTGAATGCCTTGTTTCTCTCTTGGATTTGGTTTGTAGTTTGGGCCTTTCTTGAGCATTTCAGTTGTTTCTTGTAAAGAAAAAGAAAATGATGTGAAGAGTGGAAAACTCACAAAAGTGTATTGAAATGCTCTTATGTTCTGGCAAATTCACTGTTTCTAAACAAGGGAGACGTGTAATCTGATGTTTGCCTCTCTGAACAGGGAGACAGGCGGTGAGAAGTTACAACTCCAGAGTGAAGCTGTCCTCTTGTGACCTTTGTGGAGACGTCCAGGGCTGCCATCCTTGTGAGGATGGAGCTTTAGGCTCCCTTCACCACTCTTCAATCCTTGTTATTTCCTGTGTCATGCTTCTGTTCTCTCTGCAATGTTGGTTGTAACTTATTTTTAAAGGACTCCATGTAAAATGAACATTTCCAAAAGTCATATGTGATTTTTTTCATAATCCAATATTGCCTCTGACATATTTGAAAAACATTTTTTTTTCCACCTTCTGTGGAACTTGGGAGATGGTCATCAGGTCTTAGTATGTAGACTTGCAAAGATTTCTTCACCTGACCTTGGTGGGGAAGGTCAAAATGATTGCAGTTGTGTATCTTTTTTTCTCCCTCTTGAAATCTTTTAGGATTGTTTTGAGAAGTGTTTGTTTTCTCCACAATAGAAGCGTTATTTTAGATTATCATTATTAACCTAGGTTCTTCAGCATTATCACATTAAGAGTTTGCTTTAGTATTCAAGATGGGTTTCCCTGGGAAACTGCAGGAAGAGCTTATTCTCTGTCCTTCCTACCCTAACCTTATTGCCCATCTCATGCCCCATGGTCTCAGTACATTTTTTTTTTAAGTGGACACTACTTTCTTTTTAGAATGTAGGTAGTGAATTTTTAAGAGTTAAATGATCTTTTCCCACTCCAAAACTTTTTACCTGTGCTCTCCTTTTTGTCTAGAGAGAATGAGAAAGGTTAAGCTCAGGGGTGAGGAACATACTGAAAACTGTTCTTAAGGGTGCTGCTGCTGAGCTCTGCCCTCAGGCCTCAGCCCCACACCTTGGCTGTGACAGGACAGAGTTCATTACTGCAGTGTGTGCCTTAGGTGACTCAGACCAGAGTATCTTAGGACAGGAGATGATCTGAGCCAGGGCACAGCTACTCTGCACATCAGCCACAGCAGACTGACCTACCTCACTGTGGTCTGGGGAAGGGTCAGGGTTTGTGGGGACCACAGAGTCTTGACATGACTGTTGATCTGAAGTTCCATAATGTTGGCCAGGGAGCCTTAAAAACTTTTTCAGGCTCAGAGGTCTAAGCATCAGACTTCCAGCTGTCAAGTGACATTTGATACTTGCTGTGGATCTTTAAGAATATTCCTGAATTCTGAGCACCTAGTTCATTGGTTACCCTGTTTTCTGAGGGTTGCATTTCTTTTTTCTGGGTGAGAATTTTAAAGAAAAATCCTTTTCCTGTTTCTTCCCTCCTTTTCCTTTCTCTCTTCTTTCTTTTCTTCCTTTCAAATATATTGAAATATTTTAGACATATAAAAAAATTAGGCATTTTAAAAAGTAAATCTGAGAAGTGGTTTAATTTTTCTCCTGACTCCATGGCTTTTTTCTTGAGTGCTGTGAAATTCTTGTCATGGGCTCCAGAGTGTGCTTTATAATATTTTCAGCTATTTAAAAATAAATTTATCAAAATCAAAGTATGCAAAGATATGTTTTAAAGTTAATTTTAAAAGAATGCTTATATTTAAAGAAATTATATTGGAGTGGATGTGTGTATATTACTCATGGATATTTTGGATATCATTATTTTAGTGCTTGCATCCTATTTGTAGAAAGTAGACCTTCAGAGAGTAGTAGTAAATATTAAATATCTAATTTTCTTGACTTTCTTTTCAAGTGGAAAATTTTTAAAATCTGTTCTACAGTCTGTTCTGAAAGTGGTACTTTTAATATTTGAGCCTCCATGTGATGATATCTGGCCTTTATACCCTGGGACTTTTTCTTAGGATGAAGTTAGGGAAGGGTGCTGGCAAAGGAAGTCCACCTCTCCTGCTCTTCCCAGGAACCTTGGACTATCCAAGGTTACATTCAGCAGTAAATAATTTACATTGAACTTCTAGTGTCATATAGTAGGAATGGAAAGGCCACTGAAAGACAGGTTCATTTAAAAACTAGAACTCAGATACTTTTTATGTGAAGTACTTCAGATTTTCAGGTTAAAAGTTACCTTGTAACTCATCTCATTTTATATAAATATATTAAAAGTGAGGAGGAGAAAGAGGAGGAGAAAGGATGAGTTAGAACAGCCTCAAAGCGTGTGGGCTGTGGAGGTGTCCTGGCCTCTTCTACTACAGGCAACGGAGCTGGATCTTCAGTGTTTCAAGGCTGCAGACATAAGGAGAGAGGGTGTGAACATAGTCATGGTAATTAACCAATAGCCCAGGCTATTTTCTTCACATGTTGTGAGTAGTAATATAAAAAAAAAATACTCATTTTACCTTTAAGTTTGCTTGTGCCAAAGCTCGTCAATTGAGAATACTGTCAGTTTCGCTTACTCATATGAACTAATCTCATCTTTTCCACTGCCTGGGAATCTTATTAAGAATATCTCACTTGTTAAGAATATCTCACTTGCATTTTTTTCTGGCCAGTGGTTGCACAGACTGAATGTTGGGAATAACCAATAGCCAAAAAGTCCTAGGATACGACCACCATCTTACTGCCTTTAGTTACTGTTCCAAAAAAGAAATGAAAGCCCATTACAGTATGCTCAATCATTAAAAGGCTTCCTCTTTTTATGTTGTCTGCTGCACCATGCTTTTCAAAATATTCTAAAAGAAATATCTTGGGCTTAGTATTTCAGTTATGTTATAATATGGGGAGCAGTTTGCTTATATAGAAAGCAGGTATAAAGCAGGTATACAGTTTGTTCTTATCTATGCAACGTCATGTCCTAAACATAGGATTTTTCAGAATTGAAGGCACAACTTTCCCTGTGTCAGTTCTGTTGAATCTGAGTATAGTTTTTTTTTGTGGACTGATGATATGGAAATAAAAAACATATTTAGTCTTTATTTCTGCTTTTGCTAAATATGGTTATAAATAGATTGGCAATATAATGTCAATTAACTTTGTTTTGACTTAATTCAGCTATGTAATTTGACATTTTTAGGTGTCCCATGACATTAAAAAATTGGAACTATGATTTTTCTCTATTTTTTTTTAATTTTTATTTTTTAAAGAGAGATCTTATTAGACTGCTCACATAATCTGGAGTTCCCTTATAACAACCTAACTTTTTGTAATTTGCTTTATCGAACTATTGAATACTCATTTCTATAAAAATATGTTGTAAATACCTCTTTGGCAAGATTTCTCAGCACCAGGTTAGCAATTGTTTTGAGTCTGCCAAGTGACTCCCATGGGTCAAGTTACTGTTGATGGGTGCATAATTTCTTTCACGTTGTAAATTTAAGACAAGTGGACTCACTCTTGAGTAAACCACCAGAACCTTTTACATTCTCGGAAGACGGCTCTGTTCAGCAGAAGAGTATATTTAACATTTCCCCATATTTTCACTCTTTAGTAAGGCTTAGCAGTTTTACAAACTTAACATTTTCTTGTTGCCTCTTCAGATATTTATGTTAATATTAAGCATCTTAAATCACATTGGGAGGAATTTGAAGTTCAGTTATATTTTTTTTATCATTACTTTGAGTCAGGGACCATTATTCTTCTTTCTTCAAGAAACTAAACAGCAAAGGTCATTTTTAAATTAAGTATATACCAGTAAGAATTGGCTTTCATTAAAACTGTTTCTAGGCAGTGAGGTCTGTTTATATGTGCCTCATCAAAACCCAGTGTCATGTTGCATCATTCCTTAAATATATTGTCATTTTCATTCCAATTATAACACAGGAAAATACACATTTCTCAGATGATTTCCAAGTTTCTCATGTCAGAGGACACTTATATTGGTATGTGTGTGTCTCTATTATGGGAATTATATTGGCACATGTGTTGCTATGTTTAAGAATCTTTCTATGTCATATTGTCATGAGGTCAACACTTACCATCTTCTGCCCAGGGTATTGAATTGGTGGTAGAGGGTAGTTCCATGCTCCATTGGGAGATTTTTAGGATTTATCTTTGATAACGTCAGTAGGATGTGGCTTGATTTTAGTCCTTCAAGCCTTTGTGTTTTGGACTTTTGGTAGGGTGCAGTTGATATGGTGAAGTAGATCCTTTTGTACAAAGGAAGCTATATAAAGTTTCATTTGTAAATCCCTCACTTTGAGAAGCTGTTTTACATATGAGAAGAGTACTGTTGCAATAAAACATTATTTTTCCAGGAAGTAAAGCTTTATATATTGATCAAGGTGATTAAAAAAGTTTTTATTTTAAATGTTGGAATGCTGTGTTATTGTTACTTGCACCCTTTTATGTATACTTAATAGGAAATCATGATTTATCAATAAAAATCAAAATTACCACCTATTTGTTATTTGTGTTCTTTTAATTTTAGCTCAAAACATGTTTATAGCATATCTTCCTTACTTAAATCTATTAATTATGCCATCTGGAATGTATGAGGGCAGGTTAGAGTAAGCATTAATTTTACAAGGGGTTAACACGAGTGAGGTTTGAGACATTTGATCACCAGTTTCCTCCACCTTTCTCCTCATTATTTGCTTTATGTGCTGGGGTGGGGTCTGTGGAGAAGGGGGTGATATACAAAATGTGGACTGATTATATGGAAATAAAGTAGTTTATGTACACATAGGAAAACAGGGGCATGGACTATCACATCCAGAGTACAACACTCTAAGTACACATTCTTGATTCCTACTCAACCTTATTTATTGCCATAAATTTTCAGGGCTCCTGTAAAATGACGAAGGATAGTGGTTCTTGGGGTGATTTTGCTCTCAGATGACAATGTCTATAGATAGTTTTGTTTTTCAGAACTGGTGGTATTGGCTTCTAGTGGGTAGAGGCCAAGGATGCTGATAAACATCCTACAATGTACAGAACAGCCCCCTTCAATAAAGAATTGTTTGGTCCCCAAAATCAAAAGTGTTGAGATTGAAAAACCTTCTAGCTAAGTGTTACTGGGTACTTCTAGCTTACCTGCTAGTGCCAATTAAATGACTAATATGATTAATGCATCCTTCCTGCTATGGTTTGATTATGGATTGTCCCCACCAACACGGAGGGTTAATCCTCAATGAAACAGTGTTGAGAGGTTGTGGGGCCTTTAAGAAGGAATTAGGTTTTGGGGTCTCCGCCCTTATGAAGGGATTAGTGCAATTCTTCTCTGAGAGCAGGTTGTTGTCCCTCTGTTCCCTCCCTCTCTTCTGCATGTGCCTTTTTCACATGCCGTGATTCCTGGCACTTCCTTGGGATTCTGTAGAGTTCCCCACCAGAACAGGACCTCATCGGATGAGTTCCTGATCTTGAACTTCCAGCCTTTGGAACCATGCCAAATAAACTAATCTTTCTTATAAATTATGCAGCTTCGGGTATAGCAACAGAAAATAGACGAAGGTACTTACACAACAAGAGTCATTAGAATCACTAGACTGATACTTAGGTTAACACTAAGTCTGTATTCCAAGCTGAGGAAGCATAGCTTGGAGACTAGGGAAAAGATATAGTGATTTTTTAATAAATGTCTGTGATGATAGTTTCTAAACTTGATTGATCATAAGACTTCCCCATAGAGCTTAATTTCACAAAAAATTCTGGTCTTAATTATAGAAGCTGTAGTTCAGCAAGTCTAGGTTTAGGTTCTAAGTCTAAATTGTTGAGCCAATGATCTGGGAATCACTGATATATAACGAGTTTTCCAGACCACACTGGCTTGGATAAAATGGAATGCTGAATATAACATTACCCATCCAATCTAAATAGTGTAGGACCTGCAGCCTGCAGAATACTACTTCCCAGTCTTTCCCAGGAGCATCCAGAAATATTTAATGCTCCCCCCAAAGATGCTGAGGGCTGTCACAAGAGATCCTCTTTTTTTTCTTTCTTATCTGGCACAATTTGTTTGTATCTAGTGTAGCAGAGACTGCCACTTCTCTATCCTACTCTGTCTCCTCCATCTCTTTAGTTTTGGAGTTCAGAGTTTACTCAGCATGGCAGCTATATTTCCCAGATTACTTTGTGGCTAAATGGAGTCCTGAACTCTTATTCTATCCAGTGGGATGTCATCTGAGACATGAGTGATACTTCCAAGATGTATCATAACAAAAAGAAGGGAGTAAGCCCCCCCATTTCATTTTTTGCAGGGAGCAGGGGCTTTGCTTCCTCTTGCTACCTGGATTGTGAATAGCTCTCTGGAGCTCTGACACAACCTTTTGGTTTGTTGGAGGAAGGCCAACCCCTGAGGATTATGAGGGAGCTGAAGATTTTGAAGAAATTGGGTCCCTGATCATGATGGAGCAACCCTAAACTGTCTACCTTCAGATTTCCTTTAAACGAGAGAAAACTTTTATCTTGGTTAAAGCAGTTGAGGTGGACAATTTAGGGTGGTTCTCATGAACCTGACTGCTAATATTCATGCTGATGTGTATCTCCTCCCCTCAAGTTATCTACAACTTGCCTCTAGCCAATAGAACATGGCAAAAATAACTCTGTGTACGTTAGATTGCCGTGCCCCTCTTGTTGGATTTTCTGATTTTGAAGAAATGAGTGTCATGCTTTGGGTTCCCTATGTTGGAGGCCCATGTGGCAAGAAACTGAGAACAGCTTTTAGGAGCTGAGAGCAAACTCCAGCAAGAATCTGAAAATCCTACAGCTGTACAAAATTGAGTTCTGTCTACAAATTTAGATTTTTTCCCTTTGAGCATCCTAGTGCCGCCTTTGGAGACTGCAGCTCCAGCTGATACCTTATTTTGTTTCCCTGACTCTGCTATATTATATCCTTTGGATTCAGGAGTGGGGTTGCTTATGCCTCATGTTCAGAGTTTTTAATGGAACCACTTTTAAAATTTCTCCTTTTACTGTAGTTTCCCCTCTCTCCCCACCATCTATTTATCTCTCCCCTTTCTCTCTTTTTCTCTCCTTCCTTCTCTCTTTCTCTCTGGCACAAACCTAAGTCTAGGAGACTGGGCTACATGCCACAAGGTATAGATACTATATGGTCATCCAAATCTGCCTTCTTTCTGACACACTCAATCCCTGCCCCATCACAACTCAGGCAAAATTGACCCCTGGTTGCCCATCCTGCCAATAGTTCCCTGGACTCATTCTTATACAGATACTGCAGTAGGTAAGAGTGTGGGCTTTAGTCTTAGGCAGGAGCATATGAGTCCGCCCTGTCCAGACCTTTACAGTGTCTCCACAAGGACATTTCCTGCTAGAAGAGAGATTTATTTACTCTCACTGCTTTCTTTAGGCCCAATCCCACCCCCAGCAACCCTGTATTTCATCTCTGCTCTTGATTCTGAAATTCTCACTTTTCTCTCTTTTCCTGTCATTTACTTCCTTTCAGAAACCAGCAAGTTCCAAGTCTTATCTTTTGCCTTTTTTCCTTTGTCTCTTGTGAGCCGCAAGTCAGAGCTTTCTCTCTTCTGTCTGTGATAATGCTAGTTTATATCCCTAGGGTGAAGGAGTGATGAGAGAACTTTGGATGATGCTTTCCTCTGATTGGTAGTTGGCTTTTATTCCCTTTTATGTTATCCCAATTATGTAAAAGTTCAAACATACACCTGAGTTCAGGATGAGGGCAGCAGTAACTAGCAACAAAGTGTGCATTGGTAACAAAAGCAAATGTCTCCAATTTCTAGTCATGTTGTAATATAGTCTCTGTGTTTCAGGGCCTTAGGACAAGTTACCAGTATTGCAATTAAGAAGGTGCACCAATAGGAATCCATGTGGGGTAAAATGGCCATAATAGTGTCAGGTTGAATGATCAAAGGATGGGTAACACTCAGCAGGTAAAAGAGGCAGTGTGGATTTTAATGCTTGTCTTCAAATATCTGAAAGGATGCTGTGAGCAAGCTCAAGTTGCCAAATCATTACTAATGGGTAGATTTGGACAATATTAGGAATCAAATAGAACCCCCTTACTTCAGAAGGTGGTGATTACACGGTGCCTGGAATTGGTTATCAGAGGCTGATGATAGCTAGTGACTGGCATTTTAAAAACTGGTTATCTTATCCATTATTATTATTATTTTTGAATTATGTGTTAAAAATGATAAAGGTTAAGAAGTTTTCTAATTTAGTTCTTATGAAAAATTGAATGTGTCCTCTCTGAAAACATAAAGTCCTAACTGCTAGCACCTCAGATTATGGCCTTATTTGGAAATAAGATCATTGCTGATGTAATAAGATGAGGTCCTACTGGTGAAGGATTGCCCCCAATACAATAAAACTGGTGTCCTTTTAGATCATGTGAACATGGCTACATTAAGACAGACACATAGCAATGACTAATGCAAGATTGGAGTTATGAAAACTGCAAACCAAAAAAAGTCTAAGGTTACCAGCAAATCACTAGATATTAGGAGAGGAAAAGAAGCGTACCCTACCTCTTTCACAGGGAATGGCTCTGCTGAAACCCAGATTTCAGACCCAGACTCCAGAACCGTGACGGGACAAATTTCTGTTGTTTTTAAGCCACTAATGTGTGGTACTTTGTTACAGGGCTAATAGAAAACTGATATCTGCCATATTTATTATTCCAAGTGATACTAAGATATAGGGAAATTAAGTGCCTTGAATAAGCTGTACAACTGCTTTTTCCCTGTATAACATCATAAGAGCAAAATTCTGACTTTTGCATGGCAGGTAGCAGATAGTCAAAAACCATCAGAGTGAAGAGTCCCTTGTTTTACCTTGTATTTGAATTTTAGCCTGTTGATGACTTTCCTGTTCCTGCTTCCTGCCCTGTGAGGCCATTGCTAATGGCTAAGTCTCCAATACTCACCTCTGCTCTTGGCATTCTGCCTTCCCTCATCAGTGGGAAAAGTGGAATTGCTATCTGTTCTAAGCTAGTGCATTGTATTTTAAAATATGCTTAAAACTGTGACACCAATAGATTTCCTCTGGTGTTCCAGCTGAAACCAATGGGAAATGACTATTTGAGTGGGAGGTGGGGGAAAGGTTCTGCCAGAGATTTAAAGGCCATTTCCAGATCCAATGGCAATAAGATTGGAATCAGGATGTCTTCATGGGCAAGCCAGGATCAGATGATGGCGTTTGAACTGGGACTTTTTCATTCCTTCTTCAGGGTGTATGGTATATAACTTAGTAGTCAAGTAAGTTGCATTTCAATGTGGACTGATGGTTTTTATTCCTGTTGGTCTTGATTCACTTACCATATTGTAAGCTTGCATTTTTGAATTTTCTCCCCTACATATAGACTTTTTCTTTCTCTCTTTATATATAGATATATAGAGAAAAACTATAAAATACTATATTTATAGATAAATGCTATCTATATGATATATTCAATGACTCTGGGGACTCTGAAATATGGAATTGGT